TGGAGATGGAGTCTCACTCTGTTGCCCAGGCTGGAGTGCAATGGCATGATCTCGGCTCACTGCAACCTCTGCCTCCTGGGTTCAACTGATTCTCCTGCCTCAGCCTCCCGAGTAGCTGAGATTACAAATGCGTGCCACCACACCCGGCTAATTTTTGTATTTTTAGTAGAGACAGATTTCGCCATGTTGGCCAGACTGGTGTCCAATTTGTGGCCTAAATCGATCTGCCTGCCTCAGCCCCCCAAAGTGCTGGGATTACAGGCATGAGCCGCTGTCCCCGGCTTGAAAGCAGCTTTCAATCAGACATGCCCACCAGTGTCACTGCCCCTTTCCATGGGAATGACCCAAGGACCAAAACTTACTACCCTTCCCTAGAAATTCTGCATAGGATCACTTGAGGTCAGGAGTTCAAGACCAGCCTGGCCAACATGGTGATACCCTGTATCTACTAAAAATACAAAAGAAATAGCTGGGTGTGACAGCACGCACCTGTAGTCCCAGCTACTTGGAAGGCTGAGGCATGAGAATGGCTTGAACCTGGGAAGAGGAGGTTGCAGTGAGCCAAGATCGTGCCACTGCACTCTAGCCTGGGTGACAGAGTAAGACTCCACCTCAAAAAAAAAAAACAACAACAACAACAAAAGAAAATAAAAGAAAAAAGAAAAAGAAATTTTGCATAAACTGCCCTCTTAATTTGTATGCAATTAAAAGTAAGTATAAATCTGACTGCAAAACTGCTCTCAGTGGCTACTCTCCGCCTACAGGGGAGCCGTGCTCTGCAGAGGCAGTCACAGAGCTATAACTGCTTCTTCAGTAAAGCTGTTTTCTTCTACCTCTAGCTTGCCCTTGAATTCTTTCCTAGGCGGAGCCAAGAACCCAATCAGTGGGCTAAGCTCCACTTTGGGGCTCCCCTGCCTGGCATCATTACCATTGCTATGGTAACGGTAAGAGGTGTCAATTACCTGTTCAGGCCAAGGTAGCCAAGGACGCCCACAAGAAGGATGCTCAGGAAGCTCCCCAGGGAGGCGAAGAAGATGAACCAATCAGAAACCTGCACTTCTGGGGTGGGAGAGCGTGGGTTGGCAGAGGGCTACCTCCTGCCTCTTCCTCAGGGAAGGAGCTGGGAGGGCCCGGTTTCTCCATGAACTTGCTGCTGACCCTGGTGCACATGCCACAGGCTTCTCACTGGGAGACCACAGAACCCACCTGCCCAGTAGCTGTCAAGGAATAAAGGCCTGGCATGCAGGAAGTGTTCAAGACTCTGTAATTCCAGGCCGGGCACAGTGACTCATGTCTGTTACCCCAGCACTTTGGGAGGCCAAGGCGGGCAGATCACCTGAGGTCAGGAGTTCGAGACCAGCCTGACCAATATGGTGAAACCCATCTCTACTAAAAATACAAACATTAGCTAGGTGTGGTGGTGGGTGCCTGTAATCCCAGCTACTCGGGAGGCTGAAACAGAGGAATCACTTGAACCCGGGAGGCGGAGGTTTCAGTGAGCAGAGATCGCATCATTGCACTCCAGCCTGGGCAACAAGAGTGAAAATCTGTCTCAAAACAAAAAAAGACTCCATAATTCCAAGAGCCTACACATAGGGCACATGTGGCTGCCCCTGGACCCAGGCCTGCCTGCCCCACACCAACTCTGACTCTTGTTCTCTGGGTTCCAGTTGGTACTCTTGGAACTGAAAGGACACTGTGGCATGTACAGGGATCATTTGATCTCTGAATCTCTTATAACCATACACCCCAGACAACAGAGCCTGTGTGGTTCTCTTCCTTCTCCTCCTTCTCCTCCTCCCTCTTCTTCTCTTCCTCTTCCTCTTCTTCTTCTTTCTCCTTCTTCTTCTTCTTCTTTTTTTTTTTTTGAGACAGGATCTTGCTCTGTTGCCCAGGCCAGAGTGCAGTGGTGCGGTCACGGCTCACTGCAACCTTGAACTCCTGGGCTCAAGCCATCCTCCCACCTCAGCCTCCTGAGTAGCTGAGACTACAGGTGTGTACCACCACACCCCACTATTTTTAAAATATTTTTCTGTAGAGATGAGGTCTCACCATGTTGCCCAGGCTGGTCTTGAACTCCTGGGCTCAAGCAATCCTCCAGCCTCAGCCTCCCAAAGTGCTAGGATTACAGGCGTGAGCCACCGCACCAGGCTTCGCCTGCATCCTCCTTATTTTTGCATTGATTTATTTCTCGCTCAATGAACAGATCCCTGCACCTCCCTCCTCCCCAAGAGCCCCCAGATACTTTGACACATCTACCCCCAACCCACGGTGTCAGACCAGGGAGGAGGGACAGTTGTAGACAAGGGCATGGCCAGAAGGAGACAGAGAAGGCTTGCTGGAGGAGGGAACTTTTGAGCTGAGTTTTGAAGGATGAATAGGAGTTGGACCGTGGAGAAAACAAACATTCCAGGCAGGAGGGAGGGACGGGCCTGCATGGGCAAGGCTCCTGGAGTGTGAGAGGAAGCTGCAAGAGAAGGCAATGGGAGCAGGTTGAGCTGCTGCTTTCTCCTGAGGGCAGTAGGGAGCCATGGAGGGAATGAGGGTGAGGGCAGGGCTGCTAAGATCATTATGGGAAGCGCAGTGCAAATAACTGGGTCCCACCCCCTCCACTCACTGATGCTGAAGCGCTGGGGCTGGCTCCAGGCACCCCTCAGCCACGCCGTGTCTGCTCGCACCTGCACTGTGTAGGCTACACCAGCCCGCAGGTCACTGAGGGTTACTTGGGTCTCTGTGGGCTGCACGGGATGCTCTGCAGTGGGAGAGGCAACCCTGAGTCCTGGGACCCCTGGAGGCAGGGCTTGGACACAGGACCAAATTGAGGACTAGCTAAAACAGGTGCTGGACTTTCCATAAGACACGCCCACCAGTGTGCCATGTCAGTTTACCACTACCATGGCAACACCCAGAAATGACCACCCCTGTCCATGGCAATGATCCCACAACGCGGAAGTTACCACCCTCATCCTAGATATTTCTGCATAAACTGACCTTTCATTTGCATATAATTAAAAGCGGGTATAAATATGAGAGGTAACTACCCTGCCTGTGGGGTGTTCCCGCTCTACAAGGAGCAGGACTTCTGCTGCTGCTGTACATGGCCACTTCAGTAAAAGTTTCTTTTTTTTTTCTTTTTTTTTTTTGAGACGGAGTCTCACTCTGTCGCCCAGGCTGGAGTGCAGTGGCCCGGATCTCAGCTCACTGCAAGCTCCGCTCCCGGTTCACGCCATTCTCCCTGCCTCAGCCTCCCGAGTAGCTGGGACTACAGGCGCCCGCCACCTCGCCTGGCTAGTTTTTTGTATTTTTTGTAAGACGGGGTTTCACCGTGTTATGCCCAGGATGGTCTCGATCTCCTGACCTCGTGATCCGCCCGTCTCGGCCTCCCAAAGTGCTGGGATTACAGGCTTGAGCCACCGCGCCCGGCCAAGTAAAAGTTTCTAACACCACCGACGTGCGCTTGAACTCTTTCCTGGGGAAAGTGAAGAACCCTCCCAGCTAAACCCCATTTTGTGGGCTTTCCTGTCCCTCATCAGATCCCCCCTCCAGGCCTCGGTGTCCTCATCTGTGGCATGGAGACAAGTCATCCCTGCCTGATGAGAGTCCAGCTGCTGCTACATGTGAGGGACAGCCTCTCATGGATGAACCCAACACACCGTAAGCACTTGGCTGGTGCCCACCCAGCCTTCTCCGGGGTCTGCAAGGGGTGATCAAGACCCTCAAGTTCAGCTGGGTGCAGTGGCTCATGACGAATCCCAGCACTTTGGGAGGCCAAGGTGGGAGGATAGTTTGAGGTCAGAAGTTTGAAACCAGCCTGGGCGAGGCCGGACACGGTGGCTCACACCTGTAATCCCAGCACTTTGGGAGGCCAAGGCGGGTGGTTCACCTGAGGTCAAGAGCTCGAGATCAGCCTGGTCAACACGGTGAAACCCCGTCTCTGCTAAAAATACAAAAATTAGCCAGGCATGGTGGCAGGTGCCTGTAATCCCAGCTACTTGGGAGGCTGAGGCGGGAGAATTGCCTGAACCCGGGAGGCGGAGGTTGTAGTGAGCTGAGATTGTGCCACTGCACTCCAGCCTGGGTGACAGAGCCAGACTCCCTCTCGAAAAGAAAAAAAAAGAAAAAAACCCCAGCCTGGGCAATATAGCAAGACCTTGTTTCTACAAAAAATAAAATATTAACTGTGCACGGTGGTGTGTACCTCTGTTTCCAGCTACTCAGGAGGCTGAGGTGGGAGGATCGTTTGAGCCCAGGAGGTTGAGGCTGCAGTGAGCTATGATGGCACCACTGCACTCCAGCCTGGGCACAGAGTGAGTCCCTGGCTATAAAACTTAAAAAAAAAAAGGCCAGGCGCGGTGGCTCACATCTGTAATCCTGGCACTTTGGGAGGCCAAGACGGGCGGATATTTAAAAAAATTAAATTTAATTAAAAAAAAAAACCTGAAGTATAATTCTCTTGTTTTTGTTTTTTGTTTGTTTTTGTTTTTGTTTTTTTGAGACAGAGTTCTCACTCTGTC